TGGACTATTATAGTATGTTTGATCGCACTTGCGAGGTGGACCCTCGTTTCTATCAGAGTTGTGGCGAAGGGAACGATCAACTAACATCAAACAATAAAACCCTCTGTGGGGACTACATTTGTGAGCTCCCACCAATTCTTGACCAATATTTAGGTTCATACTCACTCCCCCCGAATATGGCTTGTCAGAGACAACCTTGCGATGGTCGACCCTTGTTGGAAAATTCCAGTCTGCACTAACTTGGACTTATCCGGTCCTGCTTGCACAGATGCAGAGGGCCCAGCAGAGACAACTGTCCGGCTAAAGACAGGTATGGTGGTGCCCCAATCCACAGTGTGTAATGGTAAATGTGACGTTCACTACCGCTGCGAGGATGAGGCGCTATGTGGGGGCTATCTCTATGGAATATATTGTAACAACTACCAAGGAGCACTGAACTATGTTAATCCCGGAGACATGTGTAACGGATTGGATTCGTATTTGTGTGAAAATGGTGAGGATGAACGGGGGTGCCCAGATGTAACCAACTTGACTTGGACGGAGAAGTGTAAAATGTTTGATACACGGACCTCCAGGTGGGCTCTATAATAAACAGTACAAGATGTGTAGCACCCTGGACAGAACCTGCCAACGCCTTCCCGATCATTCCACTATGTGCTAACTTTTGGGACCAGACAAATTGCACTGATCCAAACAGGTTAAATTACTAATTTAATTTCTTTGTTTTTAATTCTATTATTCTAACCTACTGAACCAATTTGAATTGCAAGAAAAACGTTATTTACTGTAATCCTGATACTCAATAGGGGTATCTTGACTTGCAATATAGGAGGATACAGGTCAACTGTGTCAAGATTTTTGGTGTGTCATAGATTGACGATAATTCCTCGACTTTGCGACAGCGGAGTTGACCAGGTAAGAATCTTCAACTTTTTCTCCTTAAATAAAATTTCAGGTAAGTAATAGAGTTAATGCCCCAATTATAAACGTTTATTACTAAACCAATCAATCTTTTCACAATTTTCAGGCGTGCGTGTTAGCTTCACCGACGTGTTTTATTCACAAACACAGGCTCTGTGACGGCATAAAAGATTGCCTGAATGATGAAGATGAGGATCTAAAACGCTGCAAATCACTCACGCGAAAAAAGTGTTATAGAGCTTACAGACATGAACAACCGCTCAGAATTCCTCTGGCATGGCTTCAAGATGGTGTGACAGATTGTATGAATGGTATTGATGAGGATGATAGCTGGCCAGTTTGCGGTTTTGGGCCAACAAAACGATTCATGACCGAAAAAAATCCTGTTTGTGAGGAAGTTTTCCTTTGTAAACTGGGACAAGAGACTAAATATGTTGAGTTTCAGGACCTTTGTGGCGGTAAGCAGACTTGCGGTCAAGAAAAAGGGGTGTGTCAAAAATCTCACGAGATTACTCCTACCTTTGACAAAGTTTTGACCATAATAAGATCGGGTAAAAAAGAAAAGCGCCTCATGTACTGCTTGCAAGGACTAAGCGATATTCAACACATTTCAGAAAAATGTATAAGAGAAAAAGTAAACTTATCAAAACAAGACATATTTGGAGTAAATTCAGACATCACAGTCGTTTATCCGAATCAAATGATTGACTGCGACTACACGTTTGGAGAACTCTATTTAATTTTGAGCTGTTCAGGCCGTTGTAAAAACTCGAAATGCCCATTAAAGAAAACTATTAGATACGACGCTTGCCCTCAGCAATACCCAAACCGGGTTTATACAGTGGCACAAAACTCCTTTCTCACATTCGTAACGAAAACAAAACACGGTTACACCAACGATCTCTTTGTATGTCGCAACAGCCTTTGTATAACCCAAGACAAAGTTTGCAACGTTGTGGACGACTGTGGAGATGGTTCTGACGAAGAGACCTGTACCAATGTGTTTCGCTGTCACTCAAAAGAGCGGTTCATTCCAGTAACTGAGAAATGTGATGGAACCGTGGACTGCCTGGACTTCTCGGATGAGTGTAACTCAGACTGCGGTAAAAATATCGTTCAACAAACCTTCCTCAAGATGTTGTGTTGGATTTTGGGGATATTAGCAATACTTTTTAATCTCATGACATTCTGTCGAACCTGGGCTGTCGTTGAAGATAAGAACACCACAGTGATGAAAAACAGGCTCTTAGTGTTTCTGATCTCTGTTGGAGACTTCCTAATGGGTGTATATTTGCTGTGGTTGGCTGTCAACGACACGATTGTGTACGGCGCAAATTACTGCTTCAACCAGCTCGTTTGGCTGTCAAGCTTTGGTTGCTCAGTTATTGGCGTCATCAGCACGATTGGGAGTCAATTGTCATTATTTTCCATGACTGTTCTCAGTATTGTTCGCATAGTTGGGGTAAACAGGAAACATAACACGAGGAGGAAAGTTAAAAATAAAGCAATTCTGCAGATAGTTTTGGTGATGGCGGCGATTTTAGTGATATCAGTGACCATAGCAGTGGTCCCCTTGGTGCCTTATTTTGAGGATTCCTTTGTGAATGGTATGACGTATAACCCTTCAGTAAGATTGTTCATAGGGGCACCAGGGAAAGAAGCTCATCTTGGTATATTACAAGAATACTACGGGGAAATAAAATCTGGGACTCTCAGCTGGAGAATTATAAACGATCTCGTTGATGGAATGTTTTCCAATGATTATGGAGGTGATGTTCTCGGCCGAAAGAAACTCGAGTTTTATGGAAATGATGGGGTCTGCCTCTTCAAATTTTTTGTCAAACCAAATGACCCACAAAGATTTTATACTTGGATCATTCTATCGATAAACATGCTCTGTTTTATCATCATCTCAGTATCCTACTTGTACATCAACGTTACAGCTAATGCAGTCAGCCAGAAAATTGGAAACAGAAACAGTAAGCTTCAACAAAAAATATCACTGATTATTGTAACAGATTTCTTCTGTTGGCTACCTGTTGTCATCGCATGCTGCCTTCATTCTAGTGAAGTTATCAACGCCACACCCTGGTACCCAATCATTTCAATAATTTTTCTACCAATGAACTCGGTTATCAACCCTTTACTGTACAGTGATTTCGTGGCAGACACTGTAAGTTCAGCGCTTAAATGGTCGAAAACGGTAGTGAAACGGAAGTGTGCTCATGTGCCCACAGATACGGACATTGCTGCAGGAGATGGTCACCCAAAAACGAGGGTACTTATGAAAACAGAAAGCAAAAAATCAGGAAGAAATGTGAAGAATGTGCAATATGATACTGGAGGAAGCAACAAAACTGATAACAAAGTTCAAGATATGCAAAATGTTATTGAACAAGGCAAAAACCCTAATAATCGAGTTCAAGATGTGCAAGATGAAATTGAACAAGACGAGAATACTGATAGCCAATTTCGCGATGTTCAAGATGACATCGAAAAAGACGTGAAAACTGATACTCCGATAAAAGATGTTAAAAACGACATCGAACAAGACGAGAGAACTGATACTCTGGTAAAAGATGTTCAAGATGACATCGAACAAGACGAAAAAACTGATTCCCTGATAAAAGATGTTCAAAATGACATCGAACAAGACGAAAAAACTGTCTGGTAAAAGATGTTCAAGACGTCCAAGATAATATCGAACAGGGAAACTGACCTAAGCATCAAAGTGTTTGGAACGATCATATTTATAAATGCTTATTTAAAGATTTTTAGCGTAAAACTTATTTTCAGCTCTACTTGCAGCGAATCATGAAAATGCTGCTATTATTGTTTTCCAGTAAATTAGATCTTGCAAGGCGACTTAATTATAATGGGGGTATAAACACAAAAAGATTTAATCCTCCATCAATAGGAGGACCCTTCAAAATGGGCTGCTGGATTTTTTTTCTAAAAAGCTAAATGTAGGCTGGATTTTCTTTTAAAGTTTCAAAAGTTTTGGAATGGCCACATTCGAGTTTTGCGGAGCTAAACGTGCCCCTAACTCTTCTTTAAAGTAAAAAGACACTGCTTAACTCAAACGGGTAACCCCTCAAATTAAGACACACCCAACATTTAGTGCTATATATTTGACCGTGCCTTAACCGTGCGTTAACCGTGCGTTAACCGTGCGTTAACCGTGCCTTATGTAACCCTTGTGCCTTAACCGTGCCTTAACCGTGCCTTAACCGTGCCTTAACTGTGCCTTAACCGTGCCTTAACCGTGCCTTAACCGTGTTATGCCACACTACTGAATTGCCGATATTTTATTCAATTTGTAACCTAGGGGTTTTCGTCCTTACATTTATTGTTAAATTATGTTTTATTTTCGCAATAAGCATAATTGCTGTATAATTGTGAATTATATTATTTTGTTTTCTTTCGAATTTCGAATTGAACATCGTTTCTTAGGAGCAAAAACGTAACACAGTTAAGTTTAAAATGGCGATGGCGTAGACTGATTTTCGATGACCTAGTATAATTATATCAATATCTTCTTGTATAAATTTGTATGATCCCGTTTGATGCGACAAGGAAAAATGCTCTTATCAGGAAAGGAATTTCTCAACCTTTCGATGTTTCGATGTTACAACATTCGTATTCATGATATAAAAATATTTATATCAAAATTTAGAACGTAAAACATAGATCGGAGGTTAAATTAGTATACGATTATTTACTTTAAATTCAATCAACTTTATCCAAAAATGCGATACAAAACTACTACAAGACTAAATATACGACACATGATTAGTGATTACATGAGCATGGAATGCTACAGCCGCGGTGAACAGGTAAAAGATTTTTGACGTGTGTAGGTATGTGTTTATAGCGTGGTGAAAAATGGCGGGAATGGTCTTTGACCAATGAGAAGTGTGGAACGTGGGAGCCAAATATGGCTTGATTGAGGTTAGTGTGTTGAATGCAACACACTAAATATATTCATGATCTTGATATAAATATTTTTAGATCATGAATACGATGTTGTAACATCGAAACGTTGAGAAATTCCTTTCCTGATAAGAGCATTTTTTCTTGTCGCATCAAACGGGATCAATACAAATTTATACAAGAATAGATTGCAACCATGCGACTCATAAACAATATTCCGATCCGGATTTTACATATATCAATATCGATATGAATATCATTTAAATCAACTGGAAGTGGAGACAATAAACATGAATCAAATTGTAAAGAGCCATTCTGATTGAATCCTTAGCGATGAAACATTTTTTAACTTTGAATCTTACACTAGAATAATTGAGTTTGGAGCGCATTAATAGGAGGTCCATTTCGACAGTACCGTTAGTATTTTTGTAAATGACAAAACTTTTCGGAGGAAAAGTCTTGAAGTTGAAAATATTAATTCTTCGAATATGTTTGCACTTATTGACAATTCAATTATAAAACAGTGGCGGGTCTGACTTCTGACCCATGAAATTCTAATTCTACACAAACATCGAAATTGATTAAATATTGGTTTTTCCCAAATCAATTTTGAAACGGTGAGCCGCGCCATAAAATTGTATAATGTTTTACACGAGCTGACTATCCATAAAATTGTATAATATTTTACACGAGCTGACAGTATCATTACCTAACTGTCTGATAAAATAGATAGTTTCAATATTAGTCCGTTAAATTGTCCTGCAACAAAGGTCTCTTCTCGCTGTTTTTTCTTATTCTCATTCGGGCAGTCATTGTCCTCATGACGATACATATCATTAAAGACAGCACACACAAACTCGACAGAATCAGGGAGGAATCTGAAAATAACATTATGTAAGTGTTATTTATAGTGCACTAGACTAGTAGCAGGAGGGTAGGTGGTAGATTATATCGTAGTCATGTAGAATGTAGATTGTAGATGGAAATTTACAGGATAGTGTAATTCACTAGTGTACGGAGGGTGCTGGCATGTTTTCATGCAAATTAGTAACAATAATTATTATTTTTGACGGTTTACAAATTTACAAAAAATCTTAAATATTAAAAGATCTTCGTAAGTCGACCTTGTCCTTTTTAATGTTGAATGGTCATACCCGAGAATGACAGATAGTCTGTGAGAAATCCAGCAATGAAAGGTCCGCCGAAATAGAAAGCACAATAACCCATCAGCCAGATACTAGTTATTTTTGTCACTACCTCTGGTGTTAGCGGCCCCATTCTCAATTCCTGCGACAGAGAGAACAGTTCAGTTTAATATATATCCATTATATATATTTCAGAGCACTGCTCACAATTAGGAATATAATGTATAAACATGATTATATTTACAATCTCATATCAAGATCTGTCATACTTATAGTCAATAGTGTGAGAGCTACAGGAGCAAATATTACACTTGTATATAGATTTCAGTAACCATGTTCTCCTACCTGCAAGTCATAGAGTGCTGTGAGGGTAGTTATAGTGACTAAAGGATCTCCTAATCCAGCTAGGAAAACACCAGGAAATGCAGTTGTTGGAGCTACTTTGTAGAGCGATGGTATGAAGGTCGGTGGAAACGTTAGGTTCAATCCCACAAAGAGACAACCTGTTCCGATAGCCATTACCGTGTAATGGCTGAGTTTCTTAGATTGAAGAAGCACTCCCGTAAGTAAACCACCTGATGCCATTCCTACTGCAAGAAACATTAGACACCGCCCTGCATACGATATAGACACACCAAAGTTCTCGTGAAGAAAGGGTGTAACGGAAACCTGCAGAATGTGCAATTACAAGTAATTGTAAGTATCGCTAAATTGTTAGAAATAGATTTGTTATCCTGGTCCTGATTCTTAAAATCTTGGTTCTCATGATGGAATATGATATTGGCATAGCTGTTTAATGTTAACACTATAAAAGGTTTACCTGTAACACTCCATGGTTGGCATTGATCAACATGGTCACCATCAAAGGAAAGATCAGAGCCTTTGTTAATGGAGGGTTAGCTTTTTCAGAAGAGTTCGAGGACTGCGTTACCAGACTTATCAGTATCTTGTGAGGAGAGGTAGGTTTCTGTGTCAGGGAATGTGAGGAGGAGAAGAATAGCGGCCAAAAAGGTCAGGGAAGCTGAGAATATGAAAGGAACAACGTATCCAAATCTGTCATATAATAAGCAGCCAATACTCTCAGAGATTCCGTGTCCACAAAAGCATCCCATCAGTGCGACACTGTTCATAAAATCGAATTGGTCAGGAAAATGAACATGAATGAAGTCTACTGGAAGAAGATTAGAAGCGAAGGTAGCTGCTCCCTGTAGGATTCTCAAAATGAACGAGAGGACCAGCATGAGTAAGTTGTTGTCTATAAGATAAACAAATCCAGTTGATAAGGAAATTGCCGTGAATGCAATTAATATTGCTGCAAAAATAAACCTATGTCGTTTTCTTTTCATAATAAATTCTGTACCTTTAGAAAGGTACATGAGCACGAAACCTAAGAATATGCTGCTTTCAAGTAGACCAAACACTTTTCCTGGGAGATGACGTCGTTCAAAGGCGTCAGCAAGAAAGCCGTACCGTATTGAATTGCAAATGCTGTAGGTCATACCGAAGAGAACCATCACTACGACAAGAATTACTTTCCTGATCGAACTACCACGTTTTTCTTTGGAATACATCTCCTCTTCTGAAAACAAATCTCCTTAGCTTACAATTTTTACATAGACATGGTACAAATACAATCAAAAATGCAAGAAAAGCAGAACGAGAAAGCGTTTGTGGTTTGTAGGAAATATTTGTATTGTACTCACGTGATAGGTTCATCTCGCAACTTGATGAAAGGATGTCTAAAATAAATTATGGTTAGCAAGACACGTGAAATCAGTAATATATTTAATTGGGCCCTACAGGCTATTTGAATGGTTTTATGGGACGCACTTGGGGTGTAATTTAGATGAGGATATACCCAACAACTGCTAGAAAATGTGGCATACAAATGGAAAAGAAAAATGTTTCTCTTAAAGTAAACTCAGCAAGCTCAGTTACCTTACAGCTATACTACGTGTATGGACGAGTTGGTTGAGAATGCTCCTAAAAAATTTTTCAGCTTAGCCGATAATGGTATGGAATAAACTGGTTTTTTCCAGTTTATGATGTTGACTACTGATCGAATTATGAATTTAAAATGAGACTGAAGACCTACTTGGCAGATCGCACCATTTGAGAACAACCGACGTCCGACCCACATCATAGGTCAGTAATCTGTGAAACTGCTAATGAGATCAACCTTATCGGCCGTCAGTTTTACTCAAGATCTGAAGATTCTTTGCTGCATGTAGTTTTACCAAGCTGATCACTGTATTAATCTCGTTTTCATAAAATTTCTTCCGGAAGGATTTCACGATAAGCCTATTAGTATTATTACATTACCCGTATCTTTTCGTCCCGTTTCAGGTTCCACTGGTTTCAATTAACGTATAACTTGTTGTACTTGTTTAATTTGTTTGTGTCTACAATATATCCAGGATGATCTGTACTGAGATAAGATTTGTTGCCAACACATCCAAATAATGTGGCACATTTTCAATTATGTTGCTTGAACAGCTGGATCTGGACAAATAATTTAATATTTTAAAAATCTCATATACATTAACATAGCGTCTTCGATTTATAAATGGTTAAGGGTATGATCAATCGTTCAAAATCGGTTCGAATCGAATTTGAGACAATCAGAATTTGCGGCTTATCTAAGTGAAAGTCAAGATTAGACTAATTATCCCACCGGCCATTGTTGCCAAATTATCAAATGTGACGGTTGGCTAGTTTTGTGGTATCTCTTAATATATAGCCTCCTTTACGTATAGTAGAGCTACTGCTAGCTAGAGTTAGAGAAATTTTGCGCTAATTATCAATTATGTATCATCACGCGATCACGCACGGAGAATGACCAGCCTGCCACATGCACAGTTTGATCGGTTTTCTGTTTTACGAGCAGTCCAGCACGCAATTTTTGAGATTCAAGCAAATCGATGATGTTCAAACTAAGTGCATGCAGGATGTTCAGCTCGACAAAATACCGGTGGAAATTATTTTATACCCTAAAATGACTCCTCCAGATCCAGTCTTAACTTTCAATTTGACATAACTCACTAGCTAAATAACTCTGATATGATACATCGGAATAAAACCTGTTAGACTGGCTACCAGCTCGCAATTTCTGAGATTCAAGCAAATCGATGATGTTCAAAGGGTGCAGCCGCAGGATGTTCAGTTCGACAAAATACTGGTGGAAATTATTTCGTAGGCCCTAAAATGACTCCTTTTTCCTTCAATTCAGATCAAGTCCTAACTTTAAATTTGACAAAACTCACTAGCTGAAGTAGCTCTGATATGATACGTCGGAATAAAACTTGTAAGACTGGCCTCTAGTGCGCCATTTTAGAGATTCAAGCAAATCGAGGATGTTCAAACTTGACGGATGTTACTCGTCTAAATTTCTTCGAAGTAGCGCGCGCCGCTTTCTTCTCGAAATGGCCCGATGGCACGATCAACGATGGCACGAGCTACAAAGTAGCGTGCGCCGGGCCAGATCATTAACAATGGTCAAGTTCAAACTATCAAAGAGTGCAAATGTTCAGCTCGACAAAATACCGGTGGAAATCATTTTTTAGGCCCTAAAAGTAAAATTCAATGACTCCCCCAGATATGATCCAGTCTTAACCTTCACTTTGACATAACCAATAACTCACTAGCTAAAGTAGCTTTGATATGATACGTCGAAATAAAACCTGTAAGACTGGCCTCCAGTTTACTGGGCCGCGCTCAGCCTGTCATTCCGCCAAATCTTTATTCGTGTATGTTAATGCTTGCCAGCATTGTGATGAACATAATAGCCTGGGGTCCTCAGGTAAGCCTCCAGTTCGCCATTTGAGAGATACAAGCAAATCGAGGATGTTTAAAGCATAAAGGGTGCAGGATGTTCAGCTCGACCAAAGTCTGGTCTCCAGTTCGCCATTTTAGAGATTCAAGCAAATCGAGGATGTTCAAACTTGACGGATGTTACTCGTCTAAATTTCTTCGAAGTAGCGCGCCGCTTTCTTCTCGAAATGGCCCGATGGCACGATGGCACGAGCTACGAAGTAGCGTGCGCCGGGCCAGATCATTAACAATGGTCAAGTTCAAACTATCAAAGAGTGCAGATGTTCAGCTCGACAAAATACCGGTGGAAATTATTTTGTAGGCCCTAAAAGTAAAATTTAATGACTCCCCCAGATATGATCCAGTCTTAACCTTCAATTTGACATAACCAATAACTCACTAGCTAAAGTAGCTTTGATATGATACGTCGGAAAAAAACCTGTAAGACTGGCCTCCAGTTCGCCATTTTAGAGATTCAAGCAAATCGAGGATGTTTAAAGCATAAAGGGTGCAGGATGTTCATGGTTCAGCTCGACCAAACACTGATGAAAATTATTTCGTAGACCCTAGAATGAATCTTCTTACTGGGCCGCGCTCAGCCTGTCATTCCTTGTATCACGTCGTCATTCCTTGTATCACGTCGTGACACGGTCGTTTCACTGTAGAGTTTCTACGCGATACAGGGGGAGCCGCGCACTCGTGCGCGCGGCGGGTCATTCAACGTATGACAAGTCATTCCGCCTAATTTCTATGTTTATGAACATGATAGCCTGAGGTCCCCAGCAACCAGGTAAGAATCTTCCAGATTTAGTCTTAACTTGTAGGTTTATAAGTATAACCTAGTACCAAGACGCGCGCCGAGTTGGACTCGTCGACGGTCTCATGGTATAGTATTTGAAACAAATATTTTACGAGTATCACCTACACCCGTTAATTCTTAACCTTAAATTGGACAATAGCAGCAGTGAGCAGCAGTGAGCAGCAGTGAGCAGCATGCAGTGAGCAGCAGTTAGCAGCAGTTTCTTTGCACTTAGCTCCTCCTGTGTTCAGCTCTTGATATAATACTGGTGAAAATTATTTCGTATGCCCTAAAATGACTCCTCCACACTCCAGATCCAGTCTTAACCTTTGATTAGACTATTGGACATAACTCACTGACTGAAGTAGCTTTGTCCATTATTAAATATGTACTAGCCTGGCGCTCGATACCTCGAGAAGAAAGCAGCCCGCGCTACTTCGAATAAATTTAGACGAGTATGGAGTAACATCCGTCCAAAGTAGCTCTGATACGTCAAAATAAAACTTGTAAGACTTGTAATTGTGTAAAACTTGCTAAAGACTGGGCTCCAGATAACATGAACATGTAACAATTTTTGAAATTCAAGCAGATCGACTATATTCAAATTGTCTAAGATTGACGGATGTTACTTGGAGGACTTCGCCGCTTCAACGCGCCGCGCGCAAACTATAGCATTCTTGCTTCTGGCTTCGCATCGAGATGGTTGCAAAACAACGATCTGGAAGGATTGATAATCAAGGATGTTACTTTTCTCAATTTTTTTTCGAAGTAGCGCGCGTCTGCACTTTCTTCTCCATTTTTGAAATATTTACCCGAGGCAAGTGCTACGAAGTGAAGTAGCGCGTGCTGGGTTTGTCCATTAACAATGAACAATTTTCTTGAGCTCTGCATAGCAAGCCCACCAGTAAGTGGTAAGGTTTTCTTGGATTCATTTTTGGTACTTTCGTGCCATGTAAATTTTATTAATTTTTTGTCATAATTGTATTATCTCTACTTTAATTCAGAGAATTCCTTTTGTCTGTACACTGTACGACCGCCCACGTGCAAATAGATAAGAAATAGGTAGCTGCTTAGTAACCATGCTTAGTAACGAGGGTTGAAACGCGCACATGCACGTGCAATGATTGTTTTAACGTCATTTTAATCGGTTTTGTTGATATTACGCTGTGTTTAGTGCGAGATATATTTTAATTGGCTGTATCTTCGGTTGTGATAAATACTTTTTGATGCTATAAAAACTGACTTCCAAAGAATACTATTAGGTAATTCCTCCAACAGTGATTTCTCTCCGTGGAGACAGAGGTGCGAGAAAAAACATTGTTGATATAAACAGTCTAGATCTTAACTTGGAGCCACAAGGCCAAGGGTAAAAAATTTTTTGATTGTTAAGGGAATTTTTTGAATTCTTAAAGGGTTGATTTTATATAGGGTCATTGCTATATTATGTGTATATTGTTTGAATAATTTATATATAATTCCTCCCTGTGACCACGGGTTTTCTTGTCTTACTTATAATTCAGAGAATTATTATTATTATTTTTTTAAAAATTTGTTTTCCTTTGTTTGTTTGTACGACAGCCCACGTGCAAATAGATAAGAAATAGGTAGTTGCATAATAACCATGGTAACTGGGGTTGTTACTCCCACGGGCACATGCAATGATTGTTTTAACGTCATTTTGATCGGTTTTGTGGTACTTACGTTGTGTTCAGTGCGAGCTACATTTCAATGGGCTTTATCTTCGGTGGATGAATACTTTTTGACACGATTAAAACTGACTTCCAAAGAATACTATTAGGTTCCTCCCTGTGACCACGGGCTTTCTAGTTATATATAAAAGATATTATATATTTCTGTATGTACGACCGCCCACGTGAAAATTACACGAGAAATAGGAATTTGCATAGTAACCATGGTAACGGTATTCAAAAGCGCATGTGCAAAGATTTGCGAGCGAAATTTTGATCGGTTTTGTGGTAATTACATTGTGTTCAGTGCAAGCTACCTTTTAATCGGCTGTATCTTCGGTTGTGACGGATATTTGTTGATGCTATAAAAACTGACTTGTAGGTTTACAACCTACCAGGACGCGCGCCAAGTTGGACTCGTCGACGGTCCTGTATATGTATATGGAACAGATATTTTACGAGTATCACCCGTTAAAAACTGACTACCAAAGAATACTATTGGCTTCCTCCCTGTGATCACGGGCTTTCTAGTATCTTTTATAATACAATTATGACCAAAAATTATTTTAAAATGAAACTAAAATTTTAGGCGCGCCGCGGATTTTTTCGCCAATTCACACTGTAGTATTAAAATTGAGCGCTGAAGCAAATACAAAATACTATACTTTCACTTGAATACCCTATACGAGAATTCTTTCAGTGTTATTGTCTCATTTTAAAGCTCTTTTTGTCCACACAGGGGGGGGGGGGGGGCTGAAACCAGGTTTTCGATCAAACGCCGTCATTTGTAGCCATTTGTGATCTGTGATCGTGGTCAAACGTTGCCAAAAGCAATTAACCTCATGATACAGTTGCTCTCGTTCAATGAAATCGCTGCATTTTGCAAGTCATTATAATTTATGCATAATGAAACTACATATGTTCGTAATTGTGGATTGATTTTTCAGGTTTTCTAGTGACCTGAAGTGTTTTCGTGCACTTTAAGTTGTTGTGCCACTATAATATCTATGTAGTCTGAAAGGCTCACCATTTATAGGATTTTACACTTTACACCTGTCGATCTCAACATATGAACACCATGTGAAAGAAACAGGTTCAGCCAATCATTACACTCTACACTCGCTCCACCTCACAAACACAAAAACCATTTAAGTAGGTTACACACGGGTGTACCGTTCACATCAACTAAAGATAAAATGATATTTTTACATAACGCGGAAGTTTAATTTATGTAACTAAATAACTCATATACTATTGGTCAGTTCGACACAAATACGCGTGTGCATGCACGTCTCACTAATGTAGCACTCAGATTGACATCAGGCAATGCTTCGATTTACTTAATACTTATATGGTTAGGGCATAGCGTGTCAATAAAGATTTTCACATGACCATCGACACTGCCTGAAGGTGACTGCATAATAATGGGTCAAAGTGGAATCACACAATAATAAGCTTGCAGCTTTCGATAACAATGTTTTCAATGTTGGTCTCGGCCTGAGACCATTTAACTTGAGTGTAGCAATATTATCAGATTTTTGAATATACTTTGATCAATAATGATGAACCCGTCGCCACTCTGAGCAGTCAACCAGGGCTTATAAAAGCTTAACTGCGCATGGGTCCTTTCACCAACTGTGCCAATGAGAGTGACAGTGTGGTCAGGTCGACTTTACCAGCTCGTCCATTATATACCAGCTAGCTGCTAGCACTCCATTAAAGTACAGGGTGGGCCAAAAGTCAGTGGGCATACGTTGGCCTTAATAGCTCCACCATGTTTTATATTTGAGAGCTGTTGCTTTGCAAATGGCATACTGTACTTACTGGTTCGAGGATTCCGTCGTCAAAATTTGAAAATTCGAATATTTTAGACCACGCCCATTCAATATTAAAACACCTATATTGTTTTCTCTGAACATGCTGACCGCCTAATTTTTTCAGAGACGGTAGAGTATTAAATTTTGCATATAATCTGAAAACATGAGGCAAAACAGATTAGAAATGACGAAGTTATCAAGCATTTTCTGTATCTCGTTAACAAAATTGACTGGGTGATTTTGTGACACCGTGACACGACACCTTAATTGGGCACCCTTAACAATTCCCATAATGTTTAACGGGGTGGTTAACGGGTTCACCTAATCACGTGATTAAGTAAACCAATCACCTGATCACATGTAATGAATAAACTCGTTATGCTTCATATCTCGGTCATCTGAGAAGCTACAGTTCTAATTTTTTAAGGACAAACGTAATTCGAATGGCCAAACACAATTCAATAAAATTTAGCTCGATCCGACTATCCAAACCATCAAATGAATCCAAAAATAAACCTTCATTTGAAAAAAATGATCTCGAATATTTTTCGATTTGACAAATTCCTCGAACCAGTGGTGGTAGTAAGTCATACCAGAAAGAATTATTTCAATTGGGCAATCAGTGACTGAGCTATTAAGGCCAACGTATGCCCACTAACTTTTGGCCCACCCTGTATATTTATAATAGTATAGTGTCTGATGTTATCATCTAGCGCCAAAATTTAGTTGGATATTATTTAGATGAATTACAATAACAATATAATTTTATATTTATCTCAAAAAATTTTATATCTATCTCAAAATTCTGGCTACAACAATCTCTTCTAAATTATCCCAATAGAGATAATTCGGATTCTTGACCTAACTTGACCTACTTTGACTTACTTTCAAACATGAGTTAATAGATTCAAGCAGTCCTTAGCTAAAACTCTACCACATTTACCTAAAGTAAAGTAAATATATTTTATTTAATTATATTATGTAATGATTATAAACTGATCAAAATAGTTACCAATTGTATAATACAAAATTTATTTTCTGATTTTGATTAAGAAATTAAGTAAATAACATTAATTAATCATATTATCTTAGGGAAATTGTTAGGGATGGCGTTTCATTTCAGTGCTAATCAGGTAATGTTTTGGTCTGTAAGTGTTGTTTAATTTACCAATTAATTAATTGTAAGTGTTGTGTGATAAGCAGCTTTGTGTTATTTATGATAGAAATGCAGTTTTGTTAGTAAGAACTGTTATTTTCACTAATCGCCCTTTTTCCTTTCTGGTGTGGTGTTTTGCAGATGTAAATAACAACAATATCACTCCCTTGCAGTGCGATTAGGACAATAATCAAACTTGCTCGATGGAGAAAAATTTTGTCAAATAAAAATGTAATCTTTTTACCAAAATACCAGCCCTCTTTATTTGTATGTAATACCTAACACTATTCCAGTACGAAGATGCATACAGCAGTAATAGACTGCAAAATTACCAAATATCTGACAACTTTAGAGAGGTAGGACATGATTTTCTAAATTTTAAATGACCGTTAAATAACTGATATTTGTTAAATCACTGATATTTGTTAAATCACTGATATTTGTGCAATATGAATTTTGAGGTGACAGCGTTTCGTAATTTATGAAAAGTAAGATCTTCCATATGTAAACCTAACGTGAAACTGACATGCAAACAAGAAATCCTCCCACAGCGTCCAGTATCAAGGAGAGGAGCTACAAAGGTAATATCCAACGACAGAGGTCACATTGTGATCCCTACTCGGAGGTCGTTGGAGTCACCTTGGGGGGACTTCCTAGGGACGTGGGATCGAAAAAAGAAGAGCACCAGTCTGGTTAGTGTAGCTCAGTTAACACACTGTTTTTATTTGTGCTGTCTTGTTGACAGAGCTTGCTTACTTTTAATGGAACGTGTCCAAAATCATTTTTAAAGCAATTCATGATAGAATACTAGTGTTCATTTGTTTGATGAATAATAATTATAACTTACTATATTGATCTAGTAAATCGATAAAGTCATAGTTAAGGAAAATACGTGAAAAATAATTTGGGAAAAAATAATGACGGTGACCAAAATTTGGTACTCCGAAAATATGGTGTTTTTTTCGAAAAACCACCGACTTTCATACCAAATTTGAATATATCTCGTAAAGTAGTACAGTTATCGATAAACCTGATTAAGTCGTGTAGTTTTATTGAGTCTCATTTGATGATTCTTCCGAGAAAATTTCTGATTTTTTCTGAATAGACTCAGTGATGAAAATGTTCTAACTGAGATGAATAGATAAATCACGTATCGAAATTTCTACGTCGTGTCATTACTCATATTCTCAAATTGTTTGTTATATTAACTATTGTCTAGTGTTGAAAATATCAATTATTTGTTATATTATTAATTATACTTATATATATAAAACTTTCAACACTACTATATATATAGTAGTGTTGAAAGTTTGTACCCTTCTATCGGGTCTATTGGATAAAGCGTTTCCCAGCCTAATTCCTGAACACTCTCCTTCCCAAAATGTATTGGAAGTTTGATATTGGGAGATCTTATCTCCCATACGACCCGCAGTACTGACACACGGGTCGCATTCTTATGTTGCTCCGTATCCTGCTATCAGAAGCTACTGAAGTTGCATTTCTCCCTGATGATATCCGCAGCAAATACAAACGGAGTTTTTCGGGAATGCGGGGATACGTCTACTGGCGAGGATCAAATATCTGTGACGAACATTAATCAACCAGCCACTGACATGATATAGAAGATTTTGTACTCTATTGGGTCTTTTGGATCAAACGTTTCCCAGCTTAATTCCTGAACATTCTTTTTGTTAAATTATATTGGAAGTTTGATATTGGGCAATCTAACCACTTATAAGACCCACAGTGCTGACGCACGGGCCTCTGATGCCTTGATAAGTTTCATTTTTATTATAGTTATAAGTTATTTTGTTTACTCGACTGGAGTGAGATAAAGAATCTTCACGATCCACACTCCACAGTCCCAGAGATAGTCCTACTCAATTTGATTTCTCGCCATATTTTTACAGTCATGTTATATAATAACATTGCCATCACAATTTAAGACCATCAAGTGCTACTTTTCGAGCCTGGTTCCAAAAGTACAAGTGCGTCCCCAAATCAGCAGCAATCATTTGAAAACCTCCTCCCCTCGGCTGATTACATGATATGTGCAATAACTCAGGAACTCGTTTATTCAGCAAATTTATGTTTTTTCTTAATTGGGTGTTAAAACTTTAAAAGTGCTTGTGCTGTTGTTTTCGCGGCCTTATACTCTTATACCCTACTATACAGCCAATATAAATAATAGACTATGTTTCCGAACCGTTCTTGTTAATGATTTTAATAGTTTATTTTCATTACCACAGCGTTATAATTAAAATCTATTTGTCTTAAGTTCTGCCAGTATCTAAATTTCTTGTGATAGTGTATACCTATAATACTCTAATGATTTATGAGGATCAGAGAGATTTGAAATATTAGCGTTTGTAATGATCTCATGGAATTATTGGAAAAGGAATGGCGATTATAGTTATACAGAGTGGCGTCCCTCTTTCAAACATGAGCACAAATTCCTTCAAGCTTGTCTGTTAAGTTAAGATATATTACCATTTACCGAGACTGCTGAGAATTCCCCCATCTTCCGCCGCATTTCCTATATTACACCGCATCTTGTCAGTCACATACTATCAGTAGCTACTGAATTTCTAGGATTTCTCCCTTGCATCCTCACTCCTCAGCAAATACAAACGGAGTTTTTCGGGAATGTTGGGAATGCTAGGATACTACTGGTGAGGATCAAATATCCACACTGTAGCATGCATGAATTACGTAGTTCTGGTGAATATATTCACTAGGAGAGGATGACTCCTGCTCTTTTTGCGGGTGTGGCTGATGAGGCAAGAGCTGGATCCAATGTGGGAACTTTTAAGGGCTCGTTACGTGTCACACTTGTAACATGTCACACTTGTAATCCTTTGTAGCTTCTTATTACTTACTGTTATCTTATGTTACTGCTGTGAGCCGTAATCTGCTACGTTTTAAGTTTATTTTTTAGATGTTTTTATTTCATACATTTCATGTGACATTGAATTGATTGTTGAATTATGGAGCATGTACGGGATAGTAATCGCAAAAATGTTGTCAAGTTGTAAATTATACCTCTGAGGGGGGGGGGGGGGGGGGTCATGAGTATTTTTGAGAGTCCCGACGAAAGGGCTAAATTCTTATTCTCAAAAATTATTTTTGAGTAGTTTTGAGAAAAAGTTTCCGGGAGAGGCGAAAAACTCATTCTCAAAAATTGATTTTGATTATTTTGGACCATCAATTGGACCACATTGCACTGATATGAAGAATTATTTGGTATATCACTATTTTTGAGCGGACAATTTTTTAGAAAATGAGAAATCCATGCTGAATTTCTCAGATTCAAAAATAATTTTTGAGACATTTTTGAGTATTCCCGGCGAAAATGGTCAAATTCTCAGATTCAAAAATACTTATGACCCCCCTCCTGAAATTGGCTGAATAACACCAAATTAAATTTAATAATGTACAGTATGTGGACATATATATATTATATATTCGTCACTTTCAACAGTTTTGTTGCGTAGTACAACCTGTACTAATATCATGATAATACTATCGCACGTACAACATAATTATTGACCGATCACTATAATTGGGTGTTAATTTAAATTCCCCCTTGTAGTTAATATCAGCTATTTTACTATTATGTTTCTTCTCATGGCTGTTAGTTGTTACATACTTTAAAATCATTAACATAGTTTAAATAACTCTCTCTTGTGTAGTTTGTAAATTATCACCAATAGTTTTGTAACAGACTATCTGTTAGGCTATAAGCTCAACTGTTAGAGATAATGGAGATAACATTCACACCCGCTAAATAGAGCCTGTAGAACGTAAAAGTCTACAAGATTTCAATTCCCATGCCGGAAGTAGTTACCAGCCTGATTACTAATTAGTAACCTGATGAGTAGCCAGTTATCAGATTACTAAGTAATTACCAGTTACCTGGTTAGTAACTAATTACCAGACAGCTACCATGAGACAGATTACAGCCTTGTAGCTTACAACATTGAACACAGATTCTTACGAAAATGGAAATGTATTAGCTGTAACGGGAACTGTGAAGAGAAAGCAATTCCAATGATTTGGAACGAAATTATACTTTACATCCACAAGATATAAATTATTTACAATTACATTGTAAATATACAAACTTACAAGAGTATACATTGTATATGTTATATATAATATGATATACCCCACAGGGAGGCGACAATGCCGGGCACAGCTGCAAAAACAAGAAGCTCCATTACAGGTTACTGTATGTGTAGAAGCAGCCCCTCAGTCAGCTAGTAAGTAGAAAAATAGTAAATACTAAATAGTAAATAATAGGATGGTTCGTTCTTTTATATTTGTATTAGTTAAGCGATAAAGTATAGATAAATGTCACTGTGAGATTGTTAGGCTTGCAGTCTGCGGCAAAATCAGAATTTTCGGATTAAGCGGGTTATTTAGTAATCGTTGTAAATTAAATTCCTACTGCGAAATAAAGATTAAAATGAAAGATCAGCAATTCGTTGACAAAATTCGATTTGAATTCAAAAATAATCAAAAAGACAAGGAATACATTTAAAATTGGCATTAATAAAGGCCCGCCCTTATTTCGACCTACAATAGACCTTTTAGTCATTGACTCTATAATCTCTTTATAATGTCACGTGTCATGTGTCACGTGTCATGTGTCACGTGTTATCGCTAGTGTTCATTATCTCTGTTTACTTCCTGCCCATCCCAGCGACTGATATTTCATCAATATCCTCGTGGTCTACTAGTTCATCTCCCACAGTAGTCCTCGCTTCTGAAGGGGTTTGTAATTCAGAAACCGTTAAACTCAGTTATTTAACTACTTTTAACTTATAGTATTTTAAATATGAAACACAGGTTTGCTATGCTGGGGGACTACCCCCTCCAGCTAGTTTCAAGCTATATTATTCATCAGTAGAGTCTAAACAGTCGATATATCAATTTGTTGGTTATTTCAATCTTATTATAACATAACACACTCACCAATGTTAATAGGCTCAGTATTCATTTCGAAGGCAACCTCATTGTTAACAATAGAATCAGCTTCAGCTAATGTAGCTTCATCTGGGTAGCCGTATACTCTGTGTGGTTACTATGGTTACTATGTGTGGTTACTATGGTTACTATGTGTGGTTACTGTGGTTACTATGTGTGGTTACTGTGGTTACTATGGTTACTATGTGTGGTTACTGTGGTTATTGGTTAGTTGTTATCAGCAACTTTCTGTGAGGTGGTGTGACGTCACGTCGTGTCACGTGACTTTATAGCACCAAGTTTAGCTAGTTGTATTAAGCCGCCTCAGTAGTAAATTGACAAATCAGATGACGGATATGAATATAACCATTATATTGGTTTGCATTAATCGGTACCTGTCGGATTCCTCTGAGATAGAATCCGTAGCAATCACACAGAGCAAATAGCGGAGAGGACCACCAACAGCTTCATCTTTAAATGATTTATATATTGATGTTATTTTTAAGTTGTGAGTCTGAATTTAAAACATAAAATATTCATCGTGTATTGGGACTATTGTTAAAATGTGCACCTAAAAAAAAGAAAGCATTCATTATTTAACAAGCTGCAAAAGTCAAGAAAAACCAATTATATTTTTTGAAACAGTTATCAAAAACCAATTATCAAAAAGCCATTCCGAGATCAAGTAATTTAAATACAACACATAATCAGTGAAATCACACGATCAATACTACAGTGGTATATGAAATGTATACTGTATAGTTATATATAAGAACTGTAAGCTGTCACTACAGTACTACCTGATTGTAGAAATCAAAGTCTCCCTTCTCATTTTAAAGTTTATCTGCTATATTCTAACCGACACCTGTCACGGAGTCGAACTAAGATAGTTGTTAATTATCATAGATCACTCCTTATTTCACGTCATGAATAGTATTGTTGCTCTGTCACGTGATCATATCTGCCACATTCTATCTGGAAAAGGGGCTGAAATAATAAAATAAGTGTAAATAATTAATATAATAAGAGATAAGTGCGCCGTTGTGCACCATGTTCAAACTTGGGAATGGGTTTAAAGAAAAGTGCTCAAGCAAATTCCCCCAAGGGATAACCCCGAAACTCGGGGTTAATTTTTTTTCCCTCGTAATACCGGGGTTTAAAAAATGGTGGCCCTTAATTTTAAGTGGGCGATCCCGATGGTTTTGGGCAAGCCATATATTTTATTTGCAAGCCAAAGGGGGAAAAATCCCGCTTTCGGAAATTTTCGCTTTTCTGCAGCTTTTTTGCAGCTTTTTTCAGCTTTTTTTCCCTTTTCTCCCCCTTTTTCCCAATATAAAAGTTTTTTTCCCTTTAAACCCGCATATGAAAAAAAAAATGCTAAAAAAAACTGTGTCAACCTCTTTCCCCTTTTTAGGTGATACCGACCTGCAACTTTTAAATATTCTGAATTTTGAAATTTCTGAACCTTTTGTGGTTTGTTTTCCAAAATTATTTTAAAATCCTCCCTTTTTTTAAATTTCCCTTGGGGTTAAAAATATTTTTAATAAAGCTTTTTTTGCAAAGGGAATGTGGCCCCGTGGGAGAATCTAAGGGGGATTTTTGCGTAAAAAACTAATTATAGATACTGTCTAATTTCTTATTATTAATACTAATTAATTTAAATTTTTTTAATTCCCACTGTATTCTCTAATGGTTTAGAGGTTCAAAGATATAGAGTATTTAAAAAAATAACGAATTTTTTTTTCATTACTTTTGGGTTTTTAATTTTGGGAAAAAATACCTCTAGTTTTTGCTTCAAGCATGCTTAAAAAAACGCAACTTAGACATTTCATTTAAATGATTTAGTTAAGTTTTAAAATTGGGTATCCTGTAGAAACTACAAAAAAAACGTTTTTAAAAATTAGTGTCGCATTTTTAATCGTTTTTTTAAATTTGGGTTTTTAAAATTTTCCAAACCTTGATTAACCCTTTTTTTTTTGATTTAAAATTTAAACCAAAAAGGTTTTTGCCCCAAATTTCCCGGATTTTTGATTTGGGGGGAAAAAT